AGAGAGAGAGAGAGAGAGAGAGAGAGAGAGAGAGAGAGAGAGAGAGAGAGAGAGAGAGTTCTCATCATTGGTGTGCCCGCTGCTGTTATAATCTTTCTTTTGCCAGTGTTGGAAGTGTTGGAATCATTGCTGTAATGGTTTTGGTCGTAGTCATCAGTGTGATGGTGATTGTGGTGACTATTGTTGTGTACTGTTACCATTGTTCCTGGTGGTGCTCCTGCCGCTGTTGGAACTGCTGGTTGTCGTTATACTATCATCGTTGTTTGTGTTGGCCCTGCGAGTATTCACTGCTCTTCCTGAGGGAGGCACATTCTGGCAATTGCACACCGACTTCGGACTTTCAGCCATATCTGTCTGTACGGATTACGAGATGAAATCGCCGCTTTTCCTCCTCCTCTCCCTCTTTTTCAAGCACCTGAATGGAGTCACTCTCTGGTGGTACCTTACGGTTAACCACATGATACACAGTATTACACACCTATAATGTTTGGCCAATGGTTTGAGTTTTGAAGCCTGTCATAGGCTGGTTCTGTTCGTCAGAGTCGCTGCGATTTACCTTCTTTTTTTTCTGCGTTGTTCCTTATGTGTTTGATGATTCATGGCAGAGTGGAATCTATGGTCTACGGTCTTCTGCGTGCGCGTGACATGCTAATCCGGCGATTCCAGGAGTTTGCGATCCCCACCTACTGGTTGCTGGACAGCGGCATGATTGGAAAGGTGTAGTTGTTGCCCTTTTGTCACGAAAAGCAGTCGTTTTCCATTCATTACAGTGTCTGAGACCTTGTGTCTAGCAAGCGCCATGTACGTACCCACTTTTTTCAAGTTTGGTGTACAACTGCACTGCATGTTTCAGCCAAGGGGTCCAGCCAAGGTTACTACGGGGTGGGGTCAGCGGTAGGGGGCCACGGCGATGCACTGCCACTGGATTGTCTAAACCATCATTCAATAAGCGGTGTATTGGTTGAACTGGCTGGTGCATACAAGGAGTCAGGGCCGGGACAAGCCAGCCCTGGCGAGTGCCGTGGGCGACAAGTTCACACACAAAAAAAGAGAATGTACTGCTGCTCACCTTTAAGCCCTTTCAGTCTACATGACGCAAATGCAGTGTCCTTTACACCCCACGCAAGCTCACAAGTGTATAACACAACCGAGAAAGAAATTCCGGTTGAGCATAGATTTTAGATTTGCATTACAAAGCCTATGCCTGCATCCTTACTACATCCTCATACTAGATTATTATGACCACTACCATGATACTATCCCTCCTCCCGCATACCTCGGAGCCACGTTAGCTAGAATCTCAATGGCGATGATTCTCCCACTTCATGTCATATCCTTATGGGTGTAGCTGCTATATCAGCATCTGGCCCTGCGACCATTAGGTTAAAAAGGCCCAATGCTCTACCAACTAAGCTATACACCCAGAATCCAGATAGCAGGCTCAATAGGATTTAAATTTTGAAGTTTGAGCAGTGCATTTAAAGTTTGAAGTTTGAAGTTTGAAGTTTGAACTTTCTGAACTTTGAGCTTTGAACTTTTTGAAGTTTTTGTGAGGTTTTTGAACTAAACTTTTTGAACTGAACTTTTTGAAATTTGAACTTTTTGAACTTTTTGAGCTTTTTGAACTTTTTGAACTTTTTGAACTTTGAACTTTTTGAACTTTGAACTTTTTGAACTAAACTTTTTGAACTTTGAACTTTGAACTTTAAAGTTAAAACCTTTTGAAGTTTGAAGTTTGAAATTTGAAGTTTGAAGATTGAAGTGTGAAGTTTTTCAACTATAAGCCCACTCCTTCCTTGCCATCATAAAAAAAGGTGCTGCGCCTACCGGTAGTCGGCATATCCTGACCATCAACAACACACGCCAAATGCTGCTTCCTCTCTCTGAGTGCGAGATCTGTCATGAAGCGTTACGCGTGTGTCAATGTGCGTTTCGTATGCTCTGTACACGAGCATCCTCAGAAGGCTTGCGCTATAATGAAAAGAAGCCCACGCTTCGCAGGACGCCTTCTGCCTTCTGCCTTGTTAGCTATTTGTCTAGGGACAGTCTAGAAAACGCCTCATATCTGTGCGGACTGACTCACAGGTATGTGCAAAAGGACGACAGATAACTCCGACTTACAGCGAAGAACTCCGACTTCGGATAACTCCGACTTACAGAGGATAACTCCGACTTACAGCAGATAACTCCGACTTACAGCGGATAGCTCCGACTTACAGCGAAGAACTCCAGCATGTGAAACGCCGGGTGGTGCCCGGTCTGCAAAGTCTCTGAGGTCCGTTGCATCAAAATTAGTAATGAAATCACGTGCGCCAATGGAGCCCTGACAGCAAAATCAGAGGTTCCTTAACGAAAGAACTACATTACAAATAACTCAGGTTTGGGTTAGCAACTTAGCACTGAGCGTCAGGTAGAAGAGTCTTCAATGCTTTCTGATTGTTTGTGAATTATTAGCAGCCATCTCATCAAATTTCAGATTTCTTTTCATTGCACGAAATGACGAAATGATGTTTCTTTGGTGAGCCTCCACACATCCTGTCCTCGGTCTGTCTCTCTGTCAGTCCATCCGTCCATTCGTCTGGCTTGCCATCCATCCATCCATCCATCTCTCTCTCTCTCTCTCTCTCTCTCTCTCTCTCTCTCTCTCTCTCTCTCTCTCTCTCTCTCTCTTTGCTGCAGGCATTTTTGTTTGTACTTCTATGTTGTTGTTTTTCTTGTGATTGTTCGCCAAGTTCTTTGAGTACGATATTTAAAATTTTTGGATTCGTTTTTAAGATTCAGAACATTTCTCAAAGAATGAGCACAGATGAAGTCAGCATCAATATGGTGCTAACTTGCTAAGTTCCTAATCCTTTTTTTTTCTTGTACATCAGGTGAAGCGAGCAACCTTGAGTCTTGCACGCCTTTACATGCGCAGAGTATCTGGAGAGTTGGAGGGCTATGAGGAGGACATTCAGGATGATCCTTCTCGCCAATTGCTGATTTTAGAGGCTGTTCGATTCGCATTTCGTGTGCATCAGGTGAGAATGAGAAGACTCCTCATACTCTTCTGCTGAGCTGGTTCCCTGATGACACAGTTGTCAATCATAAACTCGGTCAACGATGCCGCTAAAGCAAACAAGTCGCAAGTCTCAAGTCATTGCTGGTTGTGGGGGTCGCTTTCAGTTCTCGCAGCTTCCATAAGTGTTGGGTTTTCCATGGTGGTTCAGCCTCCTGATGAGTCGGTGAAACTCCGACGAAACAGTTTGTCACAGCCCCTCGTTTGTTGTCCTCTTCTCTCTCTCTGCCTACGGTTTACCGGGCAGTTCTGTTTGTGACGATATATGTATAG